CACCATCACCAACACCAACAACACCAACAACAACAACAACAACAACAACAACAACAACAACAACCAACAACAACAACAACAACAACAACAACAACAACAACAACAAACACAAACACAGCGCCGTGGTGGCAGTAGTTCTCGCTGTAGGGCTGTAGGAGCACAGGAGCAGACGCAGTGAGAGCAATCGCTGCCGAAGATGCAGTAGGAATGCTGGCCGCAAGGGAGGAACAGAGCTCCCCGAGGCCCGGACAGTGCTGGGCCGTCGGTCGCGCTTGGGACTCGGGTTGTTCTGCCCGTCCTCCTGGAGCCAGCGATGTTTAAATGTATCTTATGTTGGCGGCCGCGACCTGCTCCACACATACCCGAATGCGCCCGCCGTCTTCCGAAATCCACGAGCAACACGACCAGGGCATTTATCGGGGACTCAGCAATCGGATGGGGAGTGTGTTTGTGATAATAAGATAGAACTCCTCCCTGAGTTTATGAGAATTAGCAATAACAGTGAGAAAAACGATAAAAAGCATGATAACCAATAAATCAAGATATGAAGCTTCACCCCAGCCTGTCGGTCTCGTGCCCAAGCCTGCAGACACAGACGTGGCACTGTGTCACTAGCCCTCGTGATGAGACAGAATGACAGCAGCTGAGGATTAATATAGGGGCCTCAATAATTAGAATAGGGTTTTGGGGTCCACTATACTATATTTGTAATAAGGAACCACCCAAATAATGTTGGTAATTATTTAGGCCCCTGTAGTAACACGTGAACTGCGATCCGTCGGAGCTTCAGGGAGGAACGAGGCAGGCTTTACAGCACTCGAACTCCGAAGCCAAGGACAACTAGTCACAGGTCTGACTCATTCAGGGGCAAGTGGCGGTCGGTGATATATAACTTATCTTCGGGACTTGATACAGCGAGGCTCAAACCGTTGGGGTTCTAATGCCTGTAGAGCCTGAAACCAAGCCTCGGGCCCCTACAAACGATGAGCTACCCCTGATAGACGCGATCCTGGAGCAAGGCTGGAGCCAGAACAAACTGAAAACCAGCAAGTGTTTTAGTTGCTGACTTGGTTCTGAAGCAAGAAGCGAGCATGTGCACGGATGCATCGTGCAACGTAGATAGGTTGAGTCATGCAAAAGACTGAAAATCGAACTAGATGCAGCTGGAACGTAGCCGTCGATGCATTGAGCAATAACACAGAGATGCCATAACAGTAGTCACACGAGTCGTCGTCCTGGTCTGTTTCTGGCCACCATCAGATTATCAAGAACTGTTGCCGTTGGCCAATGTGTGCCTTCTCCTTCTTGGGTGTCGGTGGTTCGGACGATGAACGACCTGCAGCCTGTCATCAGGGCCAGCCATACATTCGCTGGTGTGTGAGTTTAAGTCGCGTTCCCACTGACATGACCTCAAACATCATTAAAATATGATACTCCTCATAGTAAGTAGCGGTACTACTGGTGTTCGTGGGTGGTGGAAGTAGTGGCGGCCGTGCTGATGCTGCTTGCGCTTGGTGCTGCAGCTGCTGAGGCAGCTGCAGCTGCTGCTGGTGTCGGTACTGGTGCTGCCGGTGCTGGTGATGTGCTGCTTGCCACTTGCTCATGCTGCTACTGCTGCTGGTGTTGCTGTTGGGCTTGGTCGTGTGGGGGGTCTGCGTGGTGGTGTGCTGGCGGTACTGGAAGTGTCGCTGCTGGCGGTGTGGTGCCGTGGCGGTTCCAGCGCTAACTATTGGTCTACTATGAGACATAACATGCTTGACAAACCCTGGTCCAAGCTGAACACCTTTATCCATTGTAGGCATGAACCATAGAGCCAACCAAGTCAAACCAGATCTCCCAAACCCGAAGGGCCCTACGCCAGCATCGACAGTCTGCCAGCCTTTGAATCCTTCCTCCTGTGGCCCGATGACTCCGACTTCTGCTCCATCTGCGAAGTCTCCGCGTTGCGTGCCTCCGGTTTGGGCAGGGCGAAATGCCCGCCACGGAGGGTTTTGGCTGGACGGTTTACAGGTTTTCTGCGGCGGTAGAAACACACAACCACACATGCCACCGGATGCCTTGACTGTAAAAAGAAACCTCTGACCTCCAAGTACGATGAGGCCTGTAGCATAACAGTTGCCCAGCAAGCTTTCGCCGTCACTCACTTGTGGAGGAGGGACTGGGACGAAAGCTAGGGCAGAGCAGCAGTGGACAAGCCGAGGCAGGCAAGCGGACTTTTTAAGGAAAAACATGCCGCCGGCTGGAGTCTTGTTGCTGATCTTGGTTGGCTGGGCGGCAGAGCTTGAGCCTATTTTCCAAAGAAGGCACTGAAAGACAATCCTGCTTGTTGCAACGCAGGAGATTGGAACAGTCACAGCACCGAACATCATACGAGCCAAGCAAGCCACGCAAATTGAATCATGCGAATCATTGATGCCCGGCCGGGCCGGCGCGGCCAGCATTAGGAGCATCATTGGCGCCCGGCCGGGCGCGGGAGGCCAGCATCATGAGCATCGTTGGCGGCTCATTTCTCAGTTCCATGGCAAGCCGAAACACTCCCTTTTCATGCCCGAAAAGGAGGGCGTCTCGTCAGGCGGGAAAATGCAGCTCCAGGTGCAGTCTAGCTCGGGAAACCGGCATCGTTTGGCAGTATTTGGGGGGGCCCTTTCCCCACACAACCTTGTTGCGACCTTCGGTTGATAAGAAACTCCGCCAGCCCCGGAGGCTAGCGTTCGTGACTTCCCTTCCCATATATCAACAACCTGAACTTCAAAACTAGAGGTGTAGAGTGGGGCCGGGAGGTTCGGAGCAAGACGGCCTTTCCGTAAGTTAGAGGTCGCCCTGGTAAGAATCTTACCACTTTAGGGTGTACATTGACGTCCCTATTGTTCTGAAACTCAATCCAGCAGCCGGAACGAGACAGAGACTTGCTACACAGGCATAATGCCACAACTAGATTGGCAGCTACATACAGCGATCAAGTCTCTACCAGTGGATGCCTGTACCTACACGGCTTCACCAAGAATTTGTAAACTTAGACCCGTACAAACCCTGCAAGAGCGTGAGTCACGAGCCGTGTCCAAAAAGTTTTGCACAAGCTTCGAGTAGTTGTCCCGGAGTTACAAGGTCTTGCAGTATGGGGCGCGAGCTGCCTTTTTTGTAGCCACGACTACTAAGCGCCGTCTCCAACCCGGACGCGCCGTAACAGCATCACGAGATACGGGCGCCTCAGCCAGAGAGATCTGCACACCGCAGGTACGGAGTCATGGACTGATAACCTTCTTTGTCAAGATCAGCAGCCCGCTGTCTCAAGATCTCCACATCTTCCTTGGTCAAGCCTTCCGAGAGCCACGCGTCTTTGTCACTGTCGTACAAGTCGCGCTCGAGGCGTTGCTCAATGTCGGGGAGTGCTACGCAGCTTCCCGTAAAGTTCACGTTCATGGTGGCTCGTAACGTCTCCAGCGGCTCTCTCGGACAAGGGACGGAAAGGTGTCCGGCCTTGCAACGCTTGAGAGGCCTGATGGCCGAAATTCGCAGCCGACCCCGACTTCCGCGGAAGGTGCCATCGTTCTGGGGAAACCAACACCGGGGCCTAAGAGCAGAGTGGGGACTAGGAAGGCAGTACTTTTGTGCGTATGCGATGGGGCCATCTACGATGTATGTTGCGATGTCTAGAGTTACTTTGGGATCGGCCCTAGTGCACAAGAAGAGATCTCCACGTGCAAAATGATACTGGCGACCTTCGTAAGACTCGCTTGCAGAATACCTTTCGAAGCAATTTCTCCAGCCTCGCTCCTGCAGCTTCTTCTCAACAGAGAGCCGCTGTTTAGCCCACTGTTCGTGGGATGAAACGCATACCATGATATCGACATCATGATCGACAACATCCAACTTGCCCTTGGAAAGAAGGCCGCTCCGCTTGCCGTGGCGGAGTAAAGCGATAAGTGTGCCCCTGCAAGGCCACCACTCCAACCCTTCCGAATCAAAGACGGCAGCTGCATCAGCCAGCGCTTCGATGTGTTGCTCATCCGTGATCGTCGACTCCTCCTGAAACGTCGCCACCCAGTCACCTACACGCTGCAAACGCTCCATCATCGAGCGTGCTGTCGTCAACAACACGTCTACAGCTTGCGTGATTGGCCAGTAGCGGCCTTCACCGATCGAGCAAGTCGCCGATGCTTCCCTTATCGTGCGGTCGAGGATGCCGGATCGGTGAAATGCAGTGACATGGTCGTAGTTGGTATGCAAGGCCCCGTGCTCGATGTTGTAGGCTTCGATGCCAAGCTGTACGGCAGCAGCAACTAGGACAGCACAAGGACAAACACCGGGTAGCTGCAGCTCGCCTCGATGTTGCAGCACTGCAAAAACAAGTTCCATAAATTGAGAGCGTTCCACATGGCCCAGTTCTTCTTGATGGATTAAGACCCTGCGCGACTGCTGTAGGAGCTGCGTCATGTTGAGCGCATGAGTCTCACAGAAAGATCGGCATCCTGTGGTGAGTAGAGCCCCCACCCGCAGAGCGAAAGGGAGGATCGCAGCACATGCAATGATCCAGAATGCAGAGATCCTCTGCAGCATGTCAGCTTTTTTCGCCGCACAGAGGTTTCAGGGTATGGTATCAAGGAACTGTCCAAGTGAAGTCTGAGAGGGACTGATTCCTCCTCAGTGGAGCTCACAGCTTGAGCCATAGTCACTGCTAAGGCCGAGCCTCCAATTCCAAGCCTCAAGACCCATCGGAAGTCGTAAGTCCTACTTGCTTGTTGTATGTAGATGATTTCATCATCAAAAGGTCCGGGGCCAGCCATTGTAGCAGTTCTGCCACTACTACGACCATGGAGAATATTTGCTGGACTGCTGCTGATACTGCTAGTACCCGTCTCTACCGTTACGGCTGGCACCTAACATCTTGAACTTATCGGCTCATATTTGATTTTGTGGAGCTGTGGAGCTTCCTTTGCCGGTTACCATATTTCCGGGTCAGCTTCTGTTGCCGAACGTCCTCTGTTGGTAGTACTGCTCCAGATCTTCTCTTCCTGTTCCTATCCGACTAGCGCGTGTCCCACAAGGAGCCACCCGACATGTCGTCTCCAGTCATTCATCGTCTTGGTTCGGGGCGGGGGGCTTTGAAAAACACGATAAAGCAAGAAATGGCCGCTCCTCTGAGAGCTACCGAGTCCTCAGACACTCGTGTGGACGCGGGGAAAGAAGTCAACAATGTCGGACTACGAAACTTGGCAGGATCGAAGTTCGTTCTTGAACAGATTGAAGATAACAAGAATCGAAGCCGGCTCAGAAGGAAACCAGTTTGGAAGAATACATGAAACCCGGCTCTATGGCAGACTGTATGGTGCCAAGGGTTTAGGGTTTAGGGGTTTAGGGTGTAGGGTGTCGGCGCTCACACTCGGACAATCCAGGCGAGGCATGTGGTTCGAGGTCTAGGGTTTAGGGTTTAGGGTTTACCAAGCCTTGGGTTCCTGGATCTCGTTGTTCTTGTCGAGGTCCTTCTTCTCCGCAGAGGCAGTTTCGACCTTCTTCTCGGGAGAAGATGAGGCAGCCTGAAACCAACGTGCCAGGGTCTACTGTAGGGGCCGGAATAACTAGAATAAGGTTTTGGGGTATTTTATAATCAGAATAAGGAACCCCAAAGTAGTATATGGCAATTGTTTAGGCCCCTAGATTGGACAGGGAGAGAGCGACAGACAGACGACAGAAAGACAGACAGACACAAAGAGAGATTTGCAGACATACTACATACCACCATCGCATCTTTCGTGTACCTAATGTAGGGGTCTGAATAATTACCTATACTATTTTGGGGTTCCTTTTTTTATGATCGTACGATTATGGGCCCCAAAACCCTATTCTAACCATTAAGGCCCATACATTATGTATGCCCCAGATTTCCGGTTCCAACCACTTCAAGATGCTTGATTAGATGCACATCTAGGCCAAGCCAGGTCCGGTCTAAACTGCGCCTGGAAACGAACGTCATGTAAGTACCACACATCTGCCTAATCCCCAAAGGCCCGCTTGGTGCATCAATACGTACATACAATATGTGTCCGTAATAGCCTCCCGGTGAAACTCGCCATGGCATGTAATCTTTCGCTCACACGACCCCACGCCAAAAGCCAATGCCATACTTTACTGGACTGCACCAGCAGGGAGCCTAAACAGGCCCAAACCAAGAACGTGCATCAACGAGCCGAATGCCCTACGAGTGCATGCTTTAGGCTTCGTATAGGCTTCCCCTCAGCGCAATATGCGAGAGCAATCGGTATGAGTACCAATGTTTGTCGCGTCGTGGTGGTACCCGGACTAAGGTTGTGTGCACCCGGCTGGTTGTTGGTGGGCCCACTTCGCGCATGTCCAGAAATCCTATAATGCACTATCCTCTATCCTCAATTTGAAACCCGCTTTTGCAAGCGGACTCCAGAATCCGGCAGCAAAACCTGAACTCCAAGACTTTTGCACCCTAGCCCCCAGCCTATATACCTAACCCTGCAAGCCCGACGAGCAACCCTATACCGCATAGATACCCCCTAAACTAAGCATGCTATCCCAAAGTCTGCGTCCGAAGTTCAGAATCCCAACCTCGGGCTCTAACCCTCAATCTCTGAACCGAAAATTGCAAAGCCCCGGACTGAAGCCTATGAACCCTAAAGCCTGAACCATAACCCCAAAACACCCTCAGGCCCGAACCCTAAAGCCTGGACCCCAAAACGTAAGCAGACCTCCTCCAGAAGCTTCGGCAACCTAAACCCTAAACCCTAAACCCTCAACCCTAAACCCTAAACCCTAAACCCAAACACCCTAAGGCCCCCAAAACGTAAGCAGACCTCCTCCAGAAGCTTCGGCGGAGCTTTGGATTCCCCTTCCGGCTCCGCGGAAGGTGAGGGATTGGTCTTGTCCTGCTCCAGCTTCTTCGGCGTTTTAGGCTTTAGGGTTTACACTCTCACAACTCGGACAAGACA